GGCGCCGCGCTCGTCCTCACGCGCCTCCCCTTCTCTTCCTGTAGGACTGAGCACGGCCCGGTGGCGCTGGGCGGACGCTACATGGCAGAGGGCGAAGGGTACTTTGCCATGGCCGAGGACGAGCTGGCCGGAGGCGCCTACATCCCCCTGGGCGGCGACTTCAGCGCGGGCGAGTTCGGCGGCGGCGGCGGCGACGGCTTAGGCGGGCCCTGCGTGGACTACTGCGAAGGCGCCACCGCGCACTGCAACGTGCTGAGCTGGGAGCAAGTGCAGCGGCTGGACGGCATCCTGAGCGAGACCATCCCGATCCACGGGCGCGGCAACTTCCCCACGCTGGAGCTGCAGCCCAGCCTCATCGTCAAGGTGGTGCGGCGGCGCCTGGCCGAGAAGCGCATCGGCGTCCGCGACGTGCGCCTCAACGGCTCGGCCGCCAGCCACGTCCTGCACCAGGACAGCGGCCTGGGCTACAAGGACCTGGACCTCATCTTCTGCGCCGACCTGCGCGGGGAGGAGGAGTTTCAGACTGTGAAGGACGTCGTGCTGGACTGCCTGTTGGATTTCTTACCCGAAGGGGTGAACAAGGAGAAGATCACACCACTCACGCTCAAGGTAGAGCGGCTGGGGACGGGTCAGGCTCTGAGCGGAGACGGCGGGTGCAGCCGGCCGCGGGCGGCGGGCAGAGGGCCAGCGTGGGTGCTGCGAATCTGCTGCCCTCCTGGGCTCGGGAGCGCTTTTCCCTTTCTGTTTTTCTCAATGAGTGACCTGCGGTGCGTGGAGGCTAGCGAGTGTTTTCAGTTTAGTGGGAGGTTCAGCGCCGCAGCTCTCGTCCAGCTTCCTCTTCTGTCCTCCCTTCTCTTCCTTCCTCCTGGGGTTTAACTCTTGGCGTTCCTCGCGGGAATCTTGTCCTGAGTAGGTTCTGATAGGTGGAAGAATGAAACGATGTAAATAATTTTTTCGGGGGGGAGTGTCACTTTATGATCGAGTTTTTGGGAAGAAGGGAGCAACCTGAAACAGAACTGAGTCAATGGGTTTTTTATTGTACTGGAAAATGTGAATAGATTTCATAGCTGCTTTCAGCTGGTTCCCTGTGTGAAATATGTATTCGGTGGTTCTCCGTGTTGGTTCACATGTGCAGGGTAAAGTGGTGATACCCCCTCCCCCACAAGTTTTAAATCACGTTTTATATATAATTAGTAAAATTGAAAGCAGTCTAGCTTACACGGGATTATAACTGGACCTATAGAATGTCACGGGAGGGTCACTTCAGAGACTGATCACACTGATAGCTGTAGGGAGACTTGGACTGGGTGGCTGGGGCCAAGTCTGAGAGGAATAACGCAGTGCTGTATGCCCGAGTGTGTCTTTTGATAATGTGCCTTTTGACTGTTGTGTGGATATTATGCATATTAGACCATTTAGAAAAAACACATTTCAAAAGTCAGACATGACAACAGAGTCTCTTAGTACACTGTTTCGTCTGCCAAAAGCCTCAAACTATTACTTCTAGTTTCTTTCTCAGACAGTAAAACTACTCGTTAAACCTATTTTTTTTTTTTTTTTTGGTTCTGTTTTCAGAAGACTGTTTAAACCTGTAGGTAGTGTTTTGCTGAAACTTGCCAAGACAGAAGGGAAATAGCAAAATACTTCTCAGCTGTAAAGGGGATGTTTCTTTGCTATTTTGTCTAGGTTTGCTCATTTTGTTTTGTCTTTTGAATTGTAGGAAGCTTATGTGCAGAAAATGGTTAAAGTGTGCAATGACTCTGACCGCTGGAGTCTGATATCCCTGTCAAACAACAGTGGCAAAAATGTGGAACTGAAATTTGTGGATTCCCTCCGGAGGCAGTTTGAATTCAGTGTAGATTCCTTTCAAATCAAATTAGACTCTCTTCTCCTCTTTTACGAATGTTCAGAGAACCCGATGACTGAAACATTTCACCCCACGATAATCGGTGAGAGCGTCTATGGTGATTTCCACGAAGCCTTTGATCACCTTTGTAACAAGATCATTGCTACCCGGAACCCGGAGGAAATCAGAGGGGGAGGCCTGCTTAAGTACTGCAACCTCTTAGTGAGGGGCTTTAGGCCAGCCTCCGAGGAGATCAAGACTCTCCAAAGGTATATGTGTTCGAGGTTTTTCATTGATTTCTCAGACATTGGAGAGCAGCAGAGAAAACTGGAGTCCTACTTGCAGAACCACTTCGTGGGATTGGAAGACCGCAAGTATGATTATCTCATGACCCTGCATGGAGTGGTGAATGAGAGCACAGTGTGCCTGATGGGACACGAGAGAAGACAGACTTTAAACCTTATCACCATGCTGGCTATCCGGGTGCTCGCTGACCAGAATGTCATCCCTAATGTGGCTAACGTCACGTGTTATTACCAGCCGGCTCCCTATGTAGCAGATGCTAACTTTAGCAACTACTACATCGCACAAGTTCAGCCGGTGTTCACATGCCAGCAGCAGACATACTCAACTTGGCTACCCTGCAATTAGCAGTCATTTAGAAATGTCCCGTGGGGAAGCCATTTCGGCAAAAGTGGAAAAAAAGACAAAAAAAAAAAAAGGAGTAACCCACCCCTAATTGGGGATGTGTTTTGTGCAATGATGATATGCTCCTGGTTTTAAGCTTGGCAAAGTTTATGGCTCTTCTCATCCATATGGGAGCATGATCTATAAACCGTGACCCTCCTTAGTGGTCCCCTTCCCTCCCACTCAATTGGATTCTGCCTTGAAACAAAAGAGACCTAACATTTAAAGCAACCGGGTTCTCTTAAAACAAGGGACAAATTCTAGATGACAATATGGGTTTGCAGTAACTGCTCCCGTAGCTTTGCCATGGTGGGGGAAAGTGGTTGAAAAACTTTTAAGGTTGATTCATAAAAGGGGAACTGCAGAGGAAAACAGTCTCACCCCACCTTGTTTATTAGTTCAGGAGTTCAGATAGTAACAATACGGGAAGAAGGGGAACTCCAGCTTTGGGATTTTACCTGAGGCCTGTAGCGAGTGCTGTCTGTAGAATGATCCTGTTGGGCCTATAGAAACAACTTGCTCCGAATGGACAGTAGTGGGTTGCTGCAGTTCTGGTAACAGACAGCAGAACTTGTGGTGACACAATCCATTAATTCCAGCTGCGTACATAGCTCGCATTTTTTAAAATGTAAAATGCAAGCAAAAACAGCTGTAGTGAAGAAAATATGCTCAAGGACCAAAGATTTAACGGATAAAAACACCCAAGTACAGAGATAATAGAATAGAGTTACTATATTTGTTACACTCCAGTATACATCAAAGTGCCTGTTGCTTTCTGAAAATTTGAAGTGGAAAAATTATTTTATGGTTTAATAATAATTTTATTTTATCAGGGACTCAGAAGAAAATAAAACAATATATAAGCTTGTGAATGGAGGAGGAAGTGCCCTATTTTTTCTTGACAAATGCCTGTATAAAGTTGACATTGTTGGTGTGATGTTATCATAGGTACATGTGTATATTATGTGTGCATATGCATACATGCTGTATGTGTATATATATACACACTACAATGGCTATGATCTAGAACAGTGTATCAAATAGGAAATGTTTAAATACTGTGTGCTTTTATGTTTAGGATGACATGTAACATGGGCGTATTGCAATGATGAATTAAAAGCCACATCTAAACAAATTAAAGCAAACAAAGGGGGGAAATAAGTAATATATTTGATAAGAGCAGAGATTATACATTTTTGGTGAGGTTTCTGGGTTTTTTGTTTATTTTTTTTTGTGCGTGAGCCAGAAAATCCCACAAATGGCAGAGTGTTTGGCAGAACACTTTAAAAACAATATTTGAACTGCCATCTTGACAGTTTGAGCCCATTTTTTTCTCTTTGGAATAACTGCATACCTGCACAGTATGTCATCTTGTGGATCGTGAATCAGTGGTAGGCTACCTAAATCCTTAACTGCTACAAATAATTTCTGGTGATCTGAACACTACTTATAAATATTTAAATGAATTTTTAAATGAATGCATTCTGCATTTTGGGACCACTAGAATTTAGTAAATGTGAAATGACCCTTTTTAAAGAGTATTTGCACAATTGCATAAAGTTTATATATGAGATATATATTATATATAACATTTTATAGATTTATGCCAGTATGAAACATCTTCGATCTGGTTGTCTAACTGCATTTAAATATTTAGTACTGTACTTTAAATTTAATCACTTTGCATTAAGTCAAACCCAACTTTATTTTCTCTTTTCTAAGAGACCGGTTATACCCTTGTGAAATAAACTAGCATTACTATTTTAGTTTGATGACCGCTAATCCTAAAACCACCCCTCTGCCTACCCCTCTAGGCACTGGTCTCTGAAAATGCATTTGTTCAAACTAACACGTAAAAACCACATAATCCCTACCAACCCTAATGGAAGACTGCCTACTACGATAATTTCCCTGAAGACCCAACCAGAAAAATTTCGTCATTAAAGAGGGATCAGGGAAGGAAGTAGCGTTCTCCTGTTGGCAGTGTAATTTGTTTGTCTGCTACCTGGGCATCTGTCAGATGCTAAATACTGCAGCAATCCAGGTTAATCTGTCTGGATACCTGTGGTACATCTTTCTCTGAAGCCTCAAGGGGAACCTAATTGGTTTGCTATAGCAGCTTCCTGGTGAGTTCTGTCAGAGCTGTCCAGGCCCTGCACTGCCACTCACCATTTTCTAGGGAGCTGTTCTGCTGCCATGTTGGCATGGTCGCCTTCACCCCAGCCCTGGGTTTGAAAAATGAGTTGCAAAGTCCTAGGAAACATTATTCAACTTGCAGAATAAGCCTGGTACTCATCTGTCAGAAACCAGAGCTCTGCCTGCTTGGCTATTTGAACGTTTTCTACAAGAAAACTAAAGGAATGCTGAGGAGCGGAAGAGCCACTGGGGATCTGCTTTCTCCTCACCCCCACTCCACAAATGAGTTGTCTACCATTTTAAAGAGTGTGGAGGTATGGCCCTTCCATAGCAACAACCTGCTGTTAATTTCTGACAGGTTTTTGTTTGGAGAAGCCTTTTTTGAAAATACACTTTTCATTTATTTTCTCAAATATTTATATTCTTTTCTTGCTTACTTCAGGGTTCGTAGCTTAGTTAATACCTGGCATTCAGTTAGAACAGCCTGTACTCGACAACTTTCAGCATTTACTTTGAGACTTACATAATTTATTTCTCTCTTGTGTGTACTATAGTCTTGTGCATATGTAGTTGAATGTGCAGTGTGATATATGTCTCCGTGGGTGTGTGGCCTAAAAATTTGAATGTGTGGTGAGAGCTGTGTGTGTGTTACGTCCAAGAGAAGAACAGCTCTGAACTCCTGATTTGTGCCTGTGATTAGTTTGCTTCTGTGTGTATCTGGCCTAGTGTGCTGTTACTCTGAAATTAGGAAGAAGTCTTTTTCTTCTGGAAACTTCTCTCACCTGTCCAGTGTGGCGTGTCAGAGAACACTTACCTTGTGACATGCCCTCTTAAAATGTTTACTTCATCTGCGGTAAATCCAGCTGCTTCAGCAACTTCTACACCACGATGGACTTTTCCCTTCCAGAAATGGGATCAAGGATGTGCTCACTTTGGTACTGGATGGCCTATTTCAGTGTGGGTCCAAAAAAGGCAAAAATGGAAGGACTTTTGTACTCCAAGCCAAGAAGGAAATGAAATAAGTGAACGTACTATTTTTACCACCCCTTTCTGTTTGCTTATTGTTGGTTGCTTTACTGTGCATAAGGTTGTTAGATAAATATTGTGAATTCTTTTGTAAATGAAATGTATTATGTTGAAAGCCGTCAGAAACCGTCAAATATAAGCTTTTTTTGTTGTTGAAGATGAAGTGTGTTAGATGAAACCAAAAAGTAAAAAAAAAAAGTGACTTCATATATAGCACCTGTTTGAATATAATCTTTCTTTAAGATTTCTTTTAGCATAGCCTTTCAGCGCTAAGAAAGAATATATAAATTTTATTGTAGTACTGGCTTGCTAACAAAGTAAATGGTAAAGGTACAAAGTGGGAAGATGTCAGGGTGACTGGGAAGACTTGCTGGAAAGCTTTGCAGAATGAAGGAGGCTCTGCCTGCTGGCTATCTCTCCCTCCCATCTCTACAACCGTTGCTTACTCCGAGGCATCCTACTGCAGCAAGCTGCACCTTGGGTCACTCTTTTGGAATATTATGACTGTAGTGTGTCACAGGCAGAAAAGGAGTTGATTGAAAGTGGACTCTTGAAAACTGACAAATTTGAATCAGTGCTAGAGGGAACAGATTGTGAATTTTGTTTACAGCATCCAATATTTGGATTTTTTTGTAAATAAAAAGAAGTTATTTTTTTCTATGGATTTGTGTCTGCTGGTTTTGGTGTTTTGCCCTGGCTAGAGATGATGTCTTCTGAATCCCAAATAATGTCCCTTAGGAAGCACATGGCAGTGCATGGAGAAGACCAGCCTTCAGAAACAATCTGATTGGAGCACAGAAATGAACAGGTTGGGCTTTCAGCCAGCCCTTCTCTGACTGACTCAATGAGCTTCAAAAGAATCTAGCGGATAAGTGCCAAACTTTTGTGCATGAATTTAGCAGTGTTAAGTAACACAGAAGACAGAGCTGTTTTTTCAGTATCAGTAGAGACCCATGCTTAGCACTTGAGGGCTCTAGGAGCTCTGGGTAGGTCTTACATTTCATGAGTAACCCAAACACTGATTCCATTATCACTGATTACATATTTATTGCTCATTTGAAGTGTTGTCGGTTTATTCAGGTAAAATATTTGTAGCCAGGAATTGGAAAGGGAAATAGAGGGAAGAACAATCCAAGGATCTAGTACATTACAGTGTGTGTGTGTGTGTGTGTGTGTGTGTGTGTGTACATGCATGTACGCATGTGTGTATGTGCTTGATGCTAGTATGTCACCCTTGTGGCTAACATTTAGTGTAATCTCACCTGTTCAAATTGCTAGAAGGTGTATATTATCTGCTAATTGCACTTTTACGTGTGTATTTCTGAAGACTTTCTCAACACTAGCAGTATGAGAATTTGGAATCTTAGGCTGCAGTATGATGCATTTGTGGTTTTAAAGCCATTTAAAGCCTTGTTACATAGAATGCACGTTTGACATTGCTTCTATGAAAGAGCCACTCCTGGTATTAAATGCCAACTTCCTTCACACATAAAAGTATACAGCAGTTACTTGGTTTGATAGTGGTATCTGTGTGTCATTCCTTTCTTTGTGGTAGTCTTTGCATTCTAAAACTATCTTTGGTCATAACATAATTCTTTTTAATCAAAGACTGAATAAAGATGGTGTGTATTAAATTCTAGAATTGGATACCTACTTCCATTTCTACTCGATTACCAGGCTGCACCTAAGTACGCTTGGAAAGAAGGAATACTCCTTTCCTTAGGAACCTCGTTTCTTAAGCAATGTTCTTTGCATAAGCAAAAGGACAAATATTAGTACCAAAAATAGAAAAGAATTAAAATCAGAGCTTTTAAATAAGTGCAATGTATTTATAAATTGTTACAACATTGTTAAATTTTGTAGTTAAAACAAATATTTCTGATATTAAACTGCAATTTCCTCCTCATTGCCAAGTCTGAAGTCAATGATATGAATGTCCTTCAGTCAACTGGCAGGTATATTCAGGCAGGAGAGGGGTAAGGGAAGTGGTCTAGGTCATAACGGCTTTCACTTAGCAAGACCTAGATCTTCTTGTCTAATGCCATATTCTCATAAAACCACCCAGGGTTCCTTGGAGAAGTAGCCAAATGTAAATCCAGGGCCAGAGAAGGAAACACACAAAAGAACCTGAAATGTCTTGTAGTTTTGGAAAGCAAGGATATAAATATAAAAAAAAAAAACCAAAAGATAAAACTGCAATGATGAGGAGGAAAGTCAAAGGGACACAGGAGTAAACTGAAAGCATCCTATTGGTCAAAGCAACTTGAGCATCAAAATAACTGGTATTAGGTTATAACCCAAAGTATAAAATATTCATGCATCAACAAATGATATCAACAGTTATGTCAACAAAAGACTGAATACGTAAGTGAAGTAAAGAGGGGAATTTCCTGTATGCAATTTCAAATAATCTGTGAACATACTGCCCCCTCAAGGAGCAGAGATTAACACCTGGCATTTTAAATGTGAGCTATGCATAGTGACTTCCTTGCAAAGAGCACAGTACCCATACAGAAAGAAGGAGAAGAGAGTAATGCAGCAGGGAAGAAAGCTAATCAGTACTAAGCTACATGATCAAGGTCAACATGAAGAGTGCTAAGTCATGATGACAGCATGTACCTTTGTATGATGTGGTGAGAATGGCGCTTGACACAAACTTAAACTGAGGGGAATTCTGTAACATACCCATCAGTATTCCTTAAATCATTAAAGCAAGGACGTCTGAAAACTTCCATAGCTAAGAGGAACCTAAGAAACTAACAATGAAATATAATGTATCCTGGATTAAGATTCAAGAACACAAAATCACATTGGATAAAACCTAAAAAAACTGTGAATGAAGTATTATTGAGATGATGATTTCTCACTATTTGTTTATTTGTTGTAGTAAATGTAACCTACTAATGTAGGATGTCAATAACAGGAGAAACTGTATGTGAGTTGTATGGGCATTCTTTGTGTATTTTCACAGTATTTCCATAAATCTACAACTATTCTCAAAAGTTTATTGAAAATGAAGACTGCCAGGTGTGTGGTGCACACCTGTAATCCCCTCACTTAGGAGGCTGAGACAGGAGGATCACTGTGAGTTCCAGACCAGCCTGGGGTACAAAGTGAGTTCAAGGCCAGCCTCAACTGCATAGCCAGACCTTTTTTCAAAAAGAAAAAAAAGTAAGAAGACTGAGTGAACCTTCTATGCTACTTCTAAGGAATGGCTATATTTCTAAAAATAATAGTGAATTTTATTTATTAATGGTCTTATACTTAAAAGTATTAGGAGATCTTATAAAGTTAGTGAAAGAAAATGATGTTGTTTACTCAAAACTTTTAGAGAAGGTTTATCTACACATTTTAGGGAAATGGAATGGGGTTAAAGTTGATTTCATAGCAATGCTTTTCTGTAGAATAGTGGTAGAAATTAACAGTGAAAGATTCTTGAGGAACGACAAACTTTTTACACTAAAAGAGTCTAACATTTAATGGAGAGTTGCAGGGAATTACTGAATACAAATAACCACTTCCATAACTTACCTGCTCAGCAGTTTATCTTTTAGCATAGCAAGCTTTCTTGAAGTGGAGGACATATGTGTTTTAATTTACTTTTTTGACTCAATTGCTATCACTTGAAATAGCTTAAAATACAGTTTGATTTTTTTCTTTTTTTTCTTTTAAAGAGAAAATTAATGAAAACAATGATACAAAATTTCAAAACAAAATAATAGGAAATTAATAATGGTTATTATAGTGCATATTGTTATTGTCAAAGTAGTTGCTCAGATTACAAGATATAGGCATGTAAGATTGATCAAACAATATAAATGCTAACTGTTCCTTTCAATGAACTAATACAAATTTATAGTATAATTATTTTAGTTATGTTGTGTATATCTGCATTTTTTTCCTGCCCACATTCCAGTTGTTCTTTCATTTTGAGCAGTTTCTTTCCCTTTGACAATATTTATTGTGTATTTTTGATCTTATTTACTTTTAAGTTTCTTACACTATGGAAACAATACCGTGTTTACACATGTGAGTCTGATTTATTTCACTTATGAGCATGGTCTCAAGTTGCATCAATTTACCTATAAAAGCCTTAAATTTATCCTTGTTTATAGCTGAATAGTACTGCATTGTATAAAAATACCACATCTTTTTTATCCATCCCTCAGTTGATAGGCTTTTTGGTTGTTTCCAAGATTTAGCTATTACAAATTGAGCTGCTATAAACATGGGTACACATATATCCCTGTGGTATGATGTTTTTAATTCTTCTGGGAAAATACCCAGAAGGGGAATAGCTGGGTTGAATGGGACCTCTAGTCTTACATTTTTGAGGGATCTCCACAATGATTTCCACAGTGATTGTGCCAGTCTACACTCCCACCAACAGTGGAGAAGGCTTCCTTTTTCCCGACAGCCTGCTAGCATTTGTTATTGGTTGATTTCTTAATGATAGCCATACTTTCCAGGGTAAGATGAAATCTCAGTGTTGTTTTAATTTGTATTTCTTGAATGACCAATGATGTTGAACATTTTTTCATGTATTAATTTGCCATTTGTATTTTTTATCTGAGAAGTGTGTATTCATCTCAGATGCCATTTTTTAATTGGGTCTTTGAATTTGGGGATCCTGATTTTTTTCAATTAATTGTATGTCTAGATATAAGTCCTTGGTCTGAGGGACAATTGGCTAAAATGTTTTCCAATTCTGTGGGCTTTCTTCTCACTCTGTTGGTGATTACTTTTGATATGCAAAAGCTTTTTAACAAGATGAGATCCCAGATGTCAACTCTTTGAAGTACTTCCGTGAAGTTTGGTTTTTGCTCATGAATTCTCTGCCTACCCCTATGTCTTTAAGATTTCTACCTACTTTCTCTTCCAGTAGACGAGTGTTTCTATATTAATATTTAGGTCTTTGACCCATTTTGACTTTAGTTTAGTACATTGTCATAGTCTTGGGTCTAATTTTAGTCTTTGGCATGTAGAGAGCCAGTTTTTCCAACACCATTTATTAAAGAGGCTATCTTTCATCCAGTGCAGATGGTTGGCCCCTTTGTTGAAGATAAGGTGGCTGAGTGTATTTGGAGTTGTGTCTGTATCTTCTCATCTGTCCCATTGCTCCTTTGTGTTTTTGCCAGTACCATGCTGATTTTATTACAGTAGCTTTGTAGTATAATTTCAAGTCAGTGATTATGATGCCTTCTGCCTTGCCTTGTTGCCCAGAACTGCTTTTGCTATTGTGGGTCTCTTCTGGTTCCAAATGAATGTTAGAAATGTTTTTACTAGTTCTATGAGGTATGCTAATGGTATTTTGATTTGAGTTGCATTAAATCATGTACAATAATTTTGAGAATATGGCAATTTTCATTATGTTGTTTCTTCCTACACATGAGTGTAGGCTATTGTTCCTTTCTTATCCTTATTCTTTTTATTTCTCTCTCTTATCTTTTTGCTCTGGCTAATGTTTCTAGAACTGTATTGAATAGGAGTGGTTATAGTGAGGATGTCCTTGTCTTGTTCCTTTATCTTTGACAAAGGGGCCAACTTTCCATTTTCTTATATACTCTTCAATTTCCTTTTTCAGAGTACTATGATTTTCAGTGTATAGATCTTTTACTTCCTTTGTTAGATTGATTCATATTTCATGTTTTTGAATGCTATTGT